TGACCGGCATCTGAAGCTGGCTGAGGGCACCGGCGTGTTTGGGGAAGAGTGATGGAGGGATATCTGGGCCTGGACTTTGATTCGCGTGCTAGGTTCGTGCATCACAAAGCGGCTGTCAGACATGTTAATCAAAAATCTAAATTTAGAGGCTGAGAGCTCATTTATTGCGCTCCTGTGGCCAGACACCTCTGGACTCTGACAGGATGAGCTGCTTTGCGATAAAGCTCACAAAATGTCTACTCTATTCAAAAACTAAAGAGAAGGTTTTCTCCCCCCCCCCCCCAAACATGCTGTTCAACCACGTCATTCTTCACAGAATGTGACTGCTTCTATTTTAATCGGAATCTTTTAGGGGAATTGCTTTTTATGAGTTTAGGTTAGACACTGTAATGGTAACACTTCGCTTGGATTTTATATTTAAGAGAACACGTCTCGTCACTGTTATCTTAAAACAGGGGAAAATCTTTATTGGAACTGCTGTCTTTTGATATTGCGGTCCTCATTATACTGTAAAGCCCCTGCATTCTCAGAAATAAAGTTAACAAATTGTCCTTTTCTTTATCACTATCATAATGCCACCAAGGCACATCTTTTGTATATTCAGTATGTATCGTTCCCCTGGAAACGTGAATATACAAGGTGTCCAAAAAGGCGCTGTACACAGGGGTAATGAATACCTTTTAGCAAAATGACATACTTTTGACTGGCACACACAAAGACAGATATAAAAAAGAGGTGCAATATTATTTTTTAAAGCTTAAAGGTTTTAAAGAAAGTCACAAAGCTTCACAGGATACAGTGAGGGAAAAAAGTATTTGATCCCCTGCTGATTTTGTACGTTTGCCCACTGACAAAGAATTTTTTTTTGTGTGAAATTTCCAAAAAGCTATAAACATTCTAAATGCACACATGTACTGATTTCACAATACTATTTATTTATTTTGTTTATATTTATTTCATGTATATGTTGGCACGGAAAAAAAAGGAGTGGCTTTTAATTTCATTATACATTGTGTATAGTGACAATAAAGGCATTCATTCATTCATTCATTCTTATGGTCTTCAGTGGTCGCCCACGAACATCTACAGTGAGGGAAAAAAGTATTTGATCCCTTGCTGATTTTGTACGTTTGCCCACTGACAAAGAAATGATCAGTCTATAATTTTAATGGTAGATTTATTTGAACAGTGAGAGACAGAATAACAACAAGAAAATCCCAGAAAAACGCATGTCAAAAATGTTATAAATTGATTTGCATTTTAATGAGGGAAATAAGTATTTGACCCATCTGCAAAACATGACTTAGTACTTGGTTGCAAAACCTTTGTGGCAATCACAGATGTCAGACGTTTCTTGTAGTTGGCCACCAGGTTTGCACACATCTCAGGAGGGATTTTGTCCCCACTCCTCTTTACAGATCTTCTCCAAGTCATTAAGGTTTCGAGGCTGACATTTGGCAACTCTTTTTGAGCCACTCCTTTGTTGCCTTGGCCGTGTGTTTTTGTTCCATTGCCATGCTGGAATACCCATCCACGACCCATTTTCAATGCCCTGGCTGACGGAAGGAGGTTCACACCCAAGATTAGACGGTACATGTCCTGTCCCCTTAGCAGAAAAACACCCACAAAGCATAATGTTTCCACCTCCATGTTTGATGGTGGGGATGGTGTTCTTGGGGTCATAGGCAGCATTCCTCCTCCTGCAAACACGACGAGTTGAGTTGTTCCCAAAGAGCTCCATTTTGGTCTCATCTGACCACAACACTTTCACCCAGTTGTCCTATGAATCATTCAGATGTTCGTTGGCAAACTTCAGATGGGCATGTATATGTGCTTTCTTGAGCAGGGGGACCTTGCGGGCGCTGCAGGATTTCAGTCCTTCACGGCGTAGTGTGTTACCAATTGTTTTCTTGGTGACTATGGTCCCAGCTGCCTTGAGATCATTGACAAGATCCTCCCGTGTAGCTCTGGGCTGATTCCTCACTGTTCTCATGATCATTGCAACTCCACGAGGTGAGATCTTGCATGGAGCCCCAGGCCGAGGGAGATTGACAGTTCTTTTGTGTTTCTTCCATTTGCGAATAATCGCACCAACTGTTGTCACCTTCTCACCAAGCTGCTTGGCAATGGTCTTGTAGCCCATTCCAGACTTGTGTAGGTCTACAATCTTGTCCCTGACATCCTTGGAGAGTTCTTTGGTCTTTGCCATGGTGGAGAGTTTGGAATCTGATTGATTGCTTCTGTAGACGGGTGTCTTTTATACAGGTAACAAGCTGAGATTAGGAGCACTCCCTTTAAGATTGTGCTCCTAATCTCAGCTCGTTACCTGTATAAAAGACACCTGGGAGCCAGAAATCTTTCTGATTGAGAGGGGGTCAAATACTTATTTCCCTCATTAAAGTGCAAATCAATTTACAACATTTTTGACATTCTTGTTGTTATTCTGTCTCTCACTGTTCAAATAAATCTACCATTAAAATTATAGACTGATCATTTCTTTGTCAGTGTGCAAACGTACAAAATCAGCAGGGGATCAAATACTTCTTTCCCTCACTGTATACAGTAAGGTTAAGACTAGAGGTGTGCCTCATGAGACGCAAGGCCAAAACCTGCAAGTGGGAGGGAGCGGTCTGATATTAAGCTCACAATGCATCACTTTGTTTTCCCAATGCATTTACAATTTCCTTATTTACTGCCTGGTCAGGGTTAAATTAGGCTACTAGTTTGTACCTTGATGGTACCACTCCAGTGACAAGGAAAGAGACAGATTGGTACCTCTATATCTAAGAGTCTATATTAGTCCATAGGTTTACCATGTTCCTATAGAAAAATCTCACTGTATATCTTCCATAAAGTGTTTTTACAGGTAGCTCTCCATACCTCTGTTTGGCTAATACTGCACTGTTCACAAGTTGTCCATCCTTTGCTGCAATGTGTTTCCAATACTGCGCCTCCTCATTCACTGAATTTGTCTCAGAGTCCATAGCTTTTCCAGGAAGGGCGGGTTCACAGCAGTCTGAGCTCTCCATTGGAGCAGACTCGTGTCCGGTAGAGCTTCGGAGAGGCGTAGTATCTGAATGGTCCATTAACACCTCAGGAAAGTGGCTGCAGCAGCCTGTCGTCATGGCAGCAGACAGATGATGCCGGCGTGGTTATAGAGTGTTTCTCATCTGGCTGAAAGAGGTGACAAGAGAAGACACTCAGATTATTATTTGGTTAATGTCTTTTTATTGTGTGAATACATTTAAGGTTTACTCGTTAGACTGAAATTTGATAAATTTGGTACAAGGAAATTCCAGGGTTGATCTAACATACATATTTGACTTGCTAAGAGAGATACTATATAGTTTTTTAGACCTGTTTCTAACATTAAACTAACATAGGAGGTCATTAAGATGAAAAGACAGCAAATTCATAATAAAATCCAACACACTGTAGAATTAAATTGACTAATGCGTAGGACATTTTGCTTTAGTATAAATGAGATATCATAACTATAAAAAATGTATGTATTAGTATATTTACATATACAGTGGGGGAAAAGTATTTGATCCCCTGCTGATTTTGTACATTTGCCCACTAACAAAGAAATGATCAGTCTATAATTTTAATGGTAGGTTTATTTGAACAGTGAGAGACAGAATAACAACCAAAAAATCCAGAAAAACGCATGTGAAAAATGTTATAAATTGATTTGCTTTTTAATGAGGGAAATATGTATTTGACCCCTCTGCAAAACATGACTTAGTACTTGGTAATGACTTAGTAATTACTTTTAATTTTCAATGCCCTGGCTGAGGGAAGGAGGTTCTCACCCAAGATTTGACGGTACATGGCCCCGTCCATCGTCCCTTTTATGCGGTGAAGTTGTCCTGTCCCCTTAGCAGAAAAACACCCCCAAAGCATAATGTGCCCACCATATATATTTTATACAAATTTTGTTATAGATATTCATTTTATGACGTCTCCACTATGGAGTCGATGCTCAGTAAAAAAATTTTAATAAATTGCAAGATACAAGAAGTTTCAAAACTCAAACATCGGTTTATCAGCACTAGCCTACTGTACTGTTGGGACTCAGCAGTGAACAAGGCTGTATAAGTTAGATCAAGTACTGGAAACATGATGACAGTATAAAGGAAATGAAGCATGTAGACATCTTATATGGAAAACCTGTTTATTTACAGACATTTATTGATTCATTTTTTACTGTCATGAAATAAATAAAAATCAATGAAACCACTAAAATATAAGATCAAGCCCATTTTTACAAGCTCTATTTGGGTAAGAATAAAATCCAAACCTATATAATAGACATAAAAAGGCTCCACACTCTTGTTAAAATGTCAGGTTTTTCTAAAAGAAAAATGAAACTAAGATAAATTATGTCTTATCTTTTCACACCTTTAATGTGAAACTGCAAAGTATACAAATGAAGTGGAAAACAATCATGATTTTTTTTTTAGGGGAAAAAGGAGAAAAACAACTTACTTAACTTAGTAGCCTAATTGCACAAGTGTACACACACAAACTAATACTCTGTTGATGTACCTTTTGAAATTTTTTTTTTATACCACTAAGTCTTTTTGCGTAAGAGTCTATCAGAATGGCATGTCTAGACTTAGCAATATTTTCCTAGTCTTTCTTCTGAAAATATTCTAGAGACATCAAATCGTAAGGGAATATCTCCTGGGCACAGCCTGCTTCAGGTCACCCCACAGACTTTTAATTGGATTCAGGTTTGTGCTCTGGTTAGGTCATTTAAATACATTGATCCTCTTTTGGTTAAGCCATTCCTTTATTGATTTAGATGTATGCTTTGGGTCATTGTCATGCTGAAAATTGAAATTCCTTTTCAGCTTCAGCTTAATAGCAGATGCCTAAATGTTTTGCACTAATATTGGCTGGTATTTGTTGCTATTCATGATTCCTCCATCTTGATAAAAAGCCCTAGTTCTGGCAGAAGAAAAGCAGCCATAAAACATGATGCTGCCATGTTGGTCAGTGATGGCTAAGTGGTTAAGACTTTGGGTTACTGATCAGAAGGTCAAGGATTCAAGCCCCAGCACTGCCAGGCTTTGGGTAAGTGGTCAGGGGTTCAAGCCCTGGCACTGCCAAGCTGCCACTCTTGGGCCCTTGTATATGTGACCAATTTCACAATTATCATTGTATACATTGTAATTTCACGCTGAGGGTGGAAAACGTTCTGGTATGATTCAACGCTATTCATTTTTTTTAGTTCACAAAAATGTTTAAAAAAAGTGTTGGGTGTCTCTCTCTCTCTCTCTCTCTCTCTCTCTCTCTCTCTCTCTCTCTATATATATATATATATATATATATATGGAATTCATTGTATCAAATGAATTCAGCTTAATACCTTTTTTTTTATTAATTAATTTATTTTATAAAAGAGTCCAACAGTATCTTTTAGTAGTCCTTGGATTTAAATTGTCAATGTTCCAGTCACAGAAGCTTTTAATCAAAATGTGTATAAATATGGTAACACACATAAGACACATAAAACAAATTCAGAATTTCAGTTCCTTCATTCATCTACTGTAACCGCTTTATTCTGGTCAGCGTTATGATGGACCAATGGACACTTTGTTTCAGGAACATAGTGCGCAAGACAGGAACACACCCTTGATGGGACAGCAGTTCATCGCAGGGCACCACACACACACACACACACACACACACACACAGAGCGATTTAGAGTTGCTTGTCCACCTACTGACGTTTTTGGACCATGGGAAGAAACCAAAGAAGATGGAGGAAACCCACATGGACATGAGGAGAACATACAAAATACTGGCAGTAACAGGACCTCAAGTGTGAACCTATGACCTTGAAACTATGAGGTTGCAACACTGTTTACTGCACTGTTGTGTTTCCCTTGCCCACAACAGAAGAGTTAAAGACAACTCAAAACTAGGCTAGACCTAAGAATTAAAACCACCAGTCCACTGCACAATCTTTAGTTAATACTGTGAGAGTACTTATAAACAATTACATTCATTCACAAATATGAATGGAAAAAGACACTGATAAACCTATTATACAGCTCAGCAACATGTCTCCAAACACTACACAAGTGAATCAACTTTGCAGTTATAGCCAATGCATTGACAGTGGCTGTATTGTGTTCCTACTCATTCACAGAGGGTAAAACACATCTCCTTTAATTTCCCAAGGCAATGAGACAGAATGAGCTCACCAGTTATTCAGTGAGCTGCATTGTTGCAAGCTCACATCACACAACAGAGGGTCAACACAAACCCTGTGCTTAGCTCCGATTCTCCCCACACCATGCAAACAGATGTGAATACAAAACACAGTGCTATCTTTCAAGCCAATGAAGAAGTGCCAGTTAATTTCTAATGATGACATGACAGTATGCCAAGACAAGGTGCCTTTCAATAATCCACTGTAACTAAAGGCTTTCGCAATGCTCCGGCTGGGCGTTGGTAAAAATAACAGCATTGGAACTACTGGAAGTGAAAGCATTGCAAGGACAGGAAAGAGCTGTCTTTCACTAGTGCATGAGCATACAAACAGTAGGTGGGGCCTTCCTGACAAATCAATGGACAGGGAAAGGTGTTTTCCTGCAGCACGTACATGCCAAACATCCAGTTTCAAATGTAGGTTTCACAATGTAACGAGGGCACCGTCTTTATAATTATACTGCAGGTGTCATGCACAGGCAAATGTGCTTCCTCTGCATGATAGGGTTCATTTGGCACACAATCAAAACAAACTGATACTAGGTTGTGTCTAATAAAGACAGTTTAATAGATTGTTAAAAAATTCATTTTAGTTTAAAAAAAGAGTTATATGTTTGTAGATATTAAGTAAAACTATCATCAAAGTAAGTTTTTCATAAATTCGTTACTGTTTTATTGGCAGTGTGGCAGTGTGATCAAATATGACATATCCGAAAGGTAAAGGTTTGTAATATTTTAATTGCAATTCAAGTAAAAAAATAATAACATATACATATATATATATATATATATATATATATATATATATATATATATATATATATATATATATATATATATATATATATATATATATGTATGTATGTGATTATAGCCTCCGCAAAGGAAAAATTGCTCATTTAATGAGGAGATGAAAATAGAAGAGAAGACAAGAGAAGAGAACAGAAGAGAGATATATGCAAAATGCCAAAAAAGTACAAAGAAGTGAGACGAGACCACATGAAATACTCTAGCTGCAGAAGGCAGAGAGCAGCAAGCAGCTAACAGGGCAATTACAGATAGAAACTTAAGAGAAACCACAAGAGCAAGGCATGACACTTTAGATCACCATAAGAAGTGAAAGAGATCAGCAGTATCTCTAGCATAGTAACATGTTCATTAATTGTAATAGTAGTGCCTTTATGCTAGCTTATGTTGTTCCCAGTGATAAAAGAATACTATGTGGGAATACACTCATTATATATATATTAGTTGTTGACTGAACATGCTTCATACATCCATGAATTCTAAATCAGGCTTTAATACTATAGTAAGTAATATGCTAAATGCACGAAACTGAAACATGACCAGAAAAGAAGCTCGGTAATAAGAGATTTAATGTCAATGCCATCGAATAAACTCTACAGTGCATATTCACATGGAAATGACTGACAAATGAGTTTCAGTTTTTGACTAGACGGAGAGCTGAAAAGAACTGAGAGAATGTGGGAAGACTGTGTGCTTCAGATAAGATGCTTAGCTGACTATGATAAACAGGGCGAAGCTCTATGGCCTTGAACTATTCCGTCATGCATATGCATATATATATATATATATATATATATATATATATATATATATATATATATACACACACACACACACACACACACACTCCCACTAAGCACTTTCACACCCACGCACATAAAAGCTGACAGTGCAAAACCAGCCACTTTAGCACTGCAGAGCAGTTTGACCTTTTGTCCTCTAATCCATTTATAGTATAATTGTTCGCTGATGGTTCTGTTCTTAAGCGGATACAGATCTTTCACAAAATACTAATTCATTTCCTTCACGTTCTTTTGACGCATTGTTAATTCAGCGTGCTAAGGCTCCTAAAAGCTAAGAAGTAAAGAAGAGAAAGAAGACTAATGATGCACATCAAATGCCTTTTCCAGGAGAGTGCAAATTCAAATCCTGACAATGCTTGTAGCTGGGAGTCCGAGAGAGCAAAATTGGCTGTGGTTTCCTGGAGGAATGATGTTCCTCTCGCTCCTGTCAATCAGAATGATACTAACCAATTATCGGTATCGGTGAGCTCATGCAAGCAGGAGAGGGCAGTTACCATTTTCATTCAAGTGTGCAGCTGCCCTGTGGCCTAGCATGTGCAGCAGTTTCAAAATATGAGGTGGCTTCACGTATCTTGGAAAAAGCATGTTATGTTTCACCCTCCCTGATTGGTAGTTGCCATGTGATAGGGGAGAAATTGGCAAATTACCAAATTGGGAGAAAATGGAGTAAATGTATATATATTTTTAAAGTGGATGATTTGGACAACTTTTCCAAAAAAGCGTCTTAAATATGTCATAAATTAGTATTATTTTAATAGAATATACTGTATATCCCATCATAAACTGACAAGCATGAGTATCTATTACTGTTCTGTGTGTCCAGTGATAAGCCAAATGTCTTAAAATAACAGTGCACCCAAAGCTACACTTACACTTACCAATGAAGATCATCAATAGAAGTGCTGCAATTTATACAGCAAAATAGGAAAGGACTGTTCCAAATTAGTTTGTATTGAAATACGTTTACTTTTGATTTGTCACATAACTAAAAATGACACACCAACTAGGAGTGTAACACTGAGCATGAATGTGTGCAAGTGTGTCTGAGTGGGTGTTAGAAGTGCTGTCAGTGTGAATTGCATCCACTGTCATGGCCTGAAGTAGTGTTGCCTGAGCCAGAGCTGCATGTGTGTCACAGCAGTGAAACTCCTGAGGACCAGCTGGTCACACAGCACTGATCCACACGGACACCAAGCTTCTCTCTTTCATCTATATGCTGTGTGTCAGCCTCTAGCAACATGGCGGCTCTTGTAAAAGGCTGACACGCAAAGGAATGTACCATTTTATATGCACATAATTCACATACGTGGGTGACAGCCTTAAAAAACACCAAAAATTCAACATACATTAGAATTATCAACATATAATACAACATTCAAGTTTTTTCCCACATTTTTCACGGTTAAAATCCTGGACTCCCCCAATCCCCCATACACATTTTTGCTCTGTCCCAACACAGAAACAATGCGGAATGTCTTGGAAGCCCTGAGGACTGGCTTGAGAACCACCGCTATAAACAACATATTTATAACATAAACACATTTTTTTTTTATCAGTTAGACATATATAATTCCAAGCAAGAGAAAGTTATGCGCTGACAGGAAATTCATTCCTTTTATGGTCATCTCAAATCACTTCTTGTGACCAAATAGCAAGTATAAGACGGCTAGTAATGCACAAAGTGTTTTGTTTCTGTGCAATTATTTTGATGCTCAGCGAGATAAGAAAATGTTCCTCTTAGTGGTTATTTCTAAGTGGCCAATTAGTCTAACTGAGCAATCGCAGCAAAAATCACTCTTTAATTTCTCTTATACAAAAATGTTTTCAAATAAAGAAGCGGTGCATGAGTGATGATTTTCTCAAAGCAGTGACTTGAGCTAGGTTATTATTTGATCACATTTGACTCTATACTTAGGTAGACACTGCAAACAAAAACTTTCTCCCCTCTGAACACACACATTCAAAGTTATCAGTTTAAGTAAACACAAAGTCATTTTTGATACTGGTTGGAGAATATATATATATATATATATATTGTTGTGTGTGTGTGTGTGTGTACGTATATATATTGATCTATGGTGAGCCTATCACACCTAATCCTGTTTGATTTAGCCCAACATCTCAATCTTACATTCCTGGCTACTCACCAGTGTGGGAAAGGGAGCAGACAGACTTAAAAATAGCAGCAACCCCACCCTGAGACAACCCTTTTCCACAACCCCACTGACCACATCTAATAA